AGGCCCAATTTTCATTGCCCCCAAAATAGTACAACAGGGCTTGAAAAAAGTATGTGCTGTTTTGTCTGGGTGCTAAAAGTGTCACCAATAGTTTTGACTAATGTATCTAGACACCAAAAGCACTAACCTTACAGTATTCGTCTCGCTTAAAGGCTAATTAGAATTCAAGTCAGCGTGATACCTGCTTTTGAGGATTAGAGCAGCAACAGTTGTTGTAATGAGAACCTCTAGGCGTCCAGTTTTGGTAGTGATTGATTTATAAAATTACTGAGGGGGAAAAAAGAGTTTGTCCTTAAAACACTTATTTCCCTTAAGGATCAAATTTGAGTATAAATTAAAACATCTTGGTGGCTCTGTTGAAAATGAACTACAATAGCAGATTTCAAATCCAGAAAACATACATTTCTGATTTTTAAAAAACAGGATTACATCATGAAAGCACATTTGTTAGAGTTACCGGGAATTTCATGATGGTTGCTAAAAGTCTGATTTCTGGCTCTATGAGTTTTCCTAACTAGACTCTCAAATTACTCAACTTTTCAGATGGAGTTTATGCAAGCAGGAAATAATTAGAAGTAACAATAGCCCAGTGTTATCTTTCTAACTAGCACACCTTCTCTTTTCTCTTTGAGGAGTTTACATCCCATTTTACTTCCAGTCTTTCCTTTGCTACCTTTACAATGGAACAGTGTGTTTCTGTAGATGGGGCCTCATGTCCAACAGTCCTAGAAGACACTTCAGGTAGCTCACTGAGCCCTACGCGTATCCTAACAGTGCCTGAGTCAGCGTCTCCACCCCTGTAAAAGTCATGTCTATAAGCTTTCTCGTCAAGGCTCACTTTATATGGACACGGTATAAAGACTGCGTTGCTACCTCAGACCATAACGGTATTCAGGTTCTTGAGCTGAAGGTCCAATTTTCACCAATGTAGAAGCCAGGGTGAAACCATCGAGCTGTAGACATTTTATGGCCACTTCTGTGATTCATCTTTCTGATTCGAGATAAGTTTTATTGTATTTGTATCTCCCATGCCTCATATTTTTCTAATTTAATTTCTGCATGAGATATATCAGAGGTGTATGTTGAAAGGAAAATAGTACTGAAAAACAATACTGGTGGAAAGTGTCTCGGGCTGGGCATTGCTGACTGGCCATGTCCATTACTATGGCACAGACCAGGTTGTCCTTTTGCTTTTCTTGTGAACAGTGGTGGGAGAGGGCTTCCTGCGTCAGTACGACGTACGACCTGTATGCCGCAAGCCCGCCTCCCTTGTTCCTGGAATACACTTGGATAATAGAAAGGGAAATGGTACAATCTCTCATGTTCAAGAAAAAGTGGGTGATCTCTCTGCTCTTCTCTCTCATGGCAAAGGAGTGTTCACAGTTGATGTCTGTTAACCTGCAGAGCATACATGGGCTGGATGTTCTACAATTTAAAAAGACTCGCAGGAAAGAAGAATGCATAGAACAGGTGCCTCCGATACCCTGAGCTGCCCCCCGAGAAAGAAGTCACAATAGCTGTTACTGTGTGCTTCGTGGTACTCGGAGGTATTCACGAATGAGTGTCTTTGTTCACTTTTCACAATGTCCCTCTGTGCTATGATCAGCGAAGACTCTTGGGAAGAAGTGGAGGCACAGCGCGATTATGAAACTTGGCACATATCATGTCCCGGGTAAGGACCCAGCCAGCACGGCGCACTGGTGGTGTGTTCTCGAGTCACCGGTCTGCGGTGCTTTGTCACTAAAGTGACTGTAAGAAGGGACAGTCGATGTCTTCACAGTTTTCAAAATAGGTATGGAGAGTAAAAAATTTTATAAACAGACACTTGGAACCTCACCATCTTACGTGACATCAGAAAAGCCAGTTGTAATGACTTTTACCCATTAGAAATAGTTGGAGACTTATTTATAAAGCTAATGTTCTGAGCTCAAGTCTTATTCCAGAAGATTCATGTCTACATGGTACATTGTACATAATTTAATTTCCCCAGCTGAACATCTTGACGCTACATGAACCATGAATGCACGAAAGAGGAATTCCAAATGCCTTCCACATGCAAGTGGACTTTCAGATGCGTGTGCAGGAAGCTTATGCGTGCTCTGAAATTAAGTTACGCTTGTTCTCAGGGACTTGTGCTATGTATGCTCTTGGTATGAGTTCTCTGCTCTGAGAGGGACCCTGAGGTGACAGATAGATGAGTCTGCGGTCCGTATTTAGGCACTGTGCTCATTTCCTGAGAGCTGCGAAAGCATGTGGGTGCTCATTAAGTTTCCAGCCATTCCCTGAGAGCAACAGGTGGCGAACCCAGGCTCCCCCTGCTATGTCACGGCTGGTTTCCTTAATGTCTCAGGAATAAAGAATGCTGTTTGCAAGTTCTCCAGCCCCGGCAGATAAGGAAGAGATGAACAGCGACAGGAAGTATTTCCAAAGCATAAGCAAACACACACGTCTAGGAAGATTAGAACTAATGTTCTAGCTACCACACCTTCTGTATCCCCACAGTCAATCTGCCTTTTAAATCCTGCTCTTCACTCCAAGTATGAAATCCCGGTTAACTGTATGATGGTAAATTAAAGGAATACAAACATTCTAAGTTAATGAAGCTATATCATAAAATTATAAACTTTTAGCTCTATAAGTATCCAGTGAATACTAATGACTGTAATGTATCCTTAAACTGATTCCTTTTCAACTATATCTCATTTGAATGACAGTGAGCTTATCAAGCAAAAACAGAACGTATGATTTAAATCAAATATGGGACAGCTACTCAATAGTGTTTGATATTTCTATAAAACAACATCTCTTGTAAACAGAGGAGAATTTTTTTTTTTTTTGCCAATTAATAGCTTCTACTCACTGCAGTCATTAGTCAGCTACAGAGAAAGAAAACATCAGAGCTAGGTGACCTCCATGAAGCACGTCCAGTGATTTCTTATAGCTGCAAGAACACGAGCACTTACTGGAGGTGGGAAACACCAAGCCCCCCCCCCAACCTGAACAAGGACTAAACATTCAGATGAGGCCCAGAGGACAGGGACACGGCCGAGGGCAAACTGGGACGTTCTGCTTTGAGGAAATACAACCTTAGAACATGATAATGATAACAAGTCACAGGCCAAATCATATACGTATTATTTTGGAGGGCAACATGAATTCCTTTGTGCTCCTGTTCCCTCTCATCCAGAAAGTGCTTGAGCCCGGGGTCTGGGGCCCGGGGACACAGAGCTCCGAGTCTCCTGTGGCTGAACCAGTCTGAGCAGGCCCCGCAGACCTGAGCGCGGGCAGCAGTGGCCTGGTTGCAGCCCTTCCTCCCGAACGCCCAGCTGTTAAAATGCCTTCCTGCTGATTTATAGCGACACTAGGTTCTTTTTAATTAATCCTGAATATAAATTTCTTAAATTCATTTAAAAAATTTATGATCTTCTAATCATTCATAAAATCCATCGTTTTTAATATGTGAAAGTTGCCAAGGCACCGCCGTAAATTAACTCTGCAAAATGAAATCGCGTATCAATTTTTGGAGTCCTTTTCGCTCTCTATCAGAGGAGGAGGAAATGTCTTTGACTCCTTAGCAAACGGGTGTCGCACAGGGCACTTTCCCCTGGAGAAGCCGCAGACTAAGCATATATGAGAAAGGTGCATCTGAAATTTCTTGGTATTAATCCAGAAATGTCAAACCCGAGTCTCGAGTGTTCACCTGGAGGACACGGTTTTCATGTTAATTAATTATACCAAATGTATTCACAGAATATTATATATGATCCCATAAGATCAATAGGAACGCAGTACGGTGGGACCTCAGTTCACAAACTTCTTTCCATGAATCTGCTTGCAACTGAATTGCAAGCCATATACACACTGTAATTTAATACTCCTAAAATTATTTAATATACCCCAAGCGGAAACTTTATAAACAATATACAGAACCCTCACACTGAAAGTAGGAACATTAACTTCAGATTGGATCAGTGCACACCAGAGGTTGATTTAAAATTCTCTAAAATTAGAACATTGTCAGGAAAAAAGTATTCTGTTCCCTGTCAAGCAGTTCTGGAGTATGTATTTATATTTTAAATAAGGAGTTGATTTCAAATGAATAACAATAGCTAAAGCAGGAGAATTTTAAGTCTTGTCAGTTGTTTCTGTCTCTTTTTTTTTTGGTACTGGGGATCGAACTCAGGTCCTTGCACTTAAGAGTCAGGCAGGGGCACCACTGAGCTAAATTCCCGGCCCAAGTCTTGTCAGTTGTGTGAAATTTTTATTTTATTTTATTATATTTTAAAAAATTTTTTCCTCATTGAGTTTATTGGTACATTTTAGGTATACAGTACCGTTACATTCATCATTGGGATCTTGTACCTTTACATGACAGGTCTTGGTTTTCATTTTTTCCCCTGGTATGTGAAAATTTTAAACAATTTTTAAACACGTTCTTAGCAGTTTTGAGTGGTCTAAAAACATTTAAAGCAATGTGTAGAACTAAGCTCTAAGCAATTATTTCAAAAGACCCACAGCAAGTTTATGAGTAGAATGGAAACATTTTGGAGATGGTTTGTACTCCGCAGCGAGGATTACTGACCGGAAGTCGGAGCACGAGTGTTTGGGCGGGGTTAGTCCAATGGGCGAATCACAGAAACAGCTGCCTAGGTGTTTGATTTATAGGAATGTTAAGACTAATTGTGGTCAAAATCTGAGAGGATCTTAAAATTAAAATATGAAAGTAAAGAGACAGTCTAGACTTCAAAAAATTTGTATGATTTCAAATGAAATGGCATTTACATTTACTTAAGGGGCATAATAGGTTAAACAGTGGAGTGAGTATACAGTCTAGATAGCAGTGGGAAACTACATACTGTGCTATTTAAAAAATGAACTGGTTGAGATGGCTGGGGAGTATTTAAGGAATACTGTTTTTGTTTTTTCCCTATTTCCTTCCACCTTGGGCGACTCTCACAATTACAATTCTATGAAGCCAAGACTGTCAGCGCAGTATTTACCTTGATCCCCGGAAGTCCAGGAAGCCCAGGAAGCCCTGGTTCACCCTACACAGGAAAATCACACAGCATTACAGAAGGATAGCCACTCAGCCTCCAGAGAAAAATATGCCAAAGCTTCCTAGCTGAATTCTTTCTGCACACATAAATATATATATATATATACAGAAAATGGCGTAGGTTCCAGAAGGGGGGTGGGATTATGTAGTTCAGGCAACTCTTGATTCAGGAACTATTTGGCTACTTTGCAGATATCTCAAAATTTTCCCTCTTCGTGCCATCCACTGCTCAATGGCGCAGCTATCACAGTGAGAAAGGAGTAAAAGGAGAAGGAACGTCTCCACCGCATTTCTCCTTTGCTGAACAACTTGCTGGAGCTACGTGTGGAAATGGGGGCTTTTTCATGCAGTTCAGTAATGGGTCCCCGTCTAGTCTGCTCTCACCTCAGGTAATCAAGAGTTGGCTGTAGGAACAGATGGTAACATCAAAACAAAACACATTAAAAGCCCTGCTCACTGAAAAGGCTAGCGAAATTTCCTTTCCATTCCTGAACGATGAGAAGAGAAATAAACTCCGGCCTGTATTTCTGACAATTGTTGAGTTGGGGCAATGTGATCAGCAGCTCAGGGCGAATGGTACCACGCAGCTGTTCTGAAATACAGGTTTGAGATTAAGCGCTGCTTACGGGGAGTGCGCCAGAGTCGGGCTAACCCTTCTCCCTTTCACAGAATTGTCTACATTATTTTAAGCACAAAGTGTAGGGAGGAGAGGTCACATTGCTTAGAAAATCTCCCAAATTCCACTGAAGCCACAGAAAGGAATCGCAGGGGAAATGAAAGTCTGTTCTGGGTGGGTCGATGGCCATATTTGTGAAAATAAAGCTTTCAAGTTTACAGAATCACAGCATTTTATGACGGACAGGGATTGGATGACCACCACACCAGCGAGAGAAACAATAGTGAAACAGGAGGAGGCTTTTCTACCTTAACAAACCTCATTCCAAGGAAAATCTAACAACCAGATTTTCCATCTTTAGCGTTATTACTTTCAAATGATGAAGAACTGTAACTTGATCTGGTATTATCACAAAATGACTTCCGATAATAGTTTATTAAAGTGAGGCCAATGACTCTCCTGATGTTTAGAATTTAGACTGATGGCACTTCAGGAATGCAAAAGAAAAACTGTTCTCTCCAAAACCACATAAATGAAAGTTTGCACTGGGAATAAGAGAACCATGAGATTAGGCCAGAGAAGAAAGGATAATTGTGAATTTATATTCCATTCAAAGACTACTTGTTCAAGTAGATAAGTTTACACAGTGACAATAGAGCAGCTTTTCTGTTTTCTTTCATCACTTAATCAATAAATTGAAGATGACCAGTAGAAAGATCTAAAATCTTATACTGAAAGTTCACCCTGTCTTTAAAAAGGCACAAGGTTGGTGAAGACAACAAACTGAGGAGGAGAATACAGCAATAGAACCGTGGGTTGTTTCTGAGCCACCCTGTAGCACTCACCGCGGAGACCCTGAAACGCAGGAAGTTTTCCAGCAAGATTCTCACCGTTCCCTTCCCTCCTCACCAGATTAAAAGAACTGTGCACGTGGGTATGGATGGATACACACTCACGTTTTTTGACAATGAGAAAGATGTGTAAGACAGTATGGAATATTTTACAATGTACACTAAGCACAGAGACTCCGGCATTTAACCTTTCTTTACATCATAAGCATGCATGTGTGAGAGAGGTCAGAAATATACTGCTTGGGGAAAAAATTTCAGAAATGTGTATCACATAGTCGCAAATTTTCATGAATCTAATTTTCTCAGATTTATATTTCCTTCCCATACTATGTTATATTGAGTGTCAGTTACCACTTTCAGGAAGACACTTCCTCCCCTGGCATCTCCGCCCCGCTTGGAGCAGCTGGGTGCTTGGGCATGACCAGCCCATGGGCAAGGGCGGGGCCACAACTGAGAGCTGGCCTTCAGGCTATGCAGAGAAGACCTGTCCCAGAGTCATCCTGACACAGGTGCATTATACTGTTGATTCATTTCTCCCTTTCGCTCTTCACTGTCTTGGGAGAGAACCTCACAAAAATCAGGACTGTGCTTCACTGCACGCCCTCGCTAAGATGACCCAGCTTCCAAGAAAGCTCAGTGGTGAGGCTCCCTTTTGATGGACATCAAGTAATTTTACTTCTTCCAAACTAAAATATACACTTTAAAAAGATGTGTTCCAGCACCCTAGACCCCTAGAAAGAGCCCAGGCCGAGGTTCTCTTATCAAGGCCATCAGCATCAACTGATTTTGCTGCTTTGAAACAAAAATATATACTTTAAAAAGATGTAGAGAAGCCAGGAAAGAAAGATCTAAGTGGTGAAACACAGTGCCTGTTTTGGGAATCTCCGCCTTCCCTCGACAAGCCCATACACATGCTCCACCCTTTTAATCTCCCAATCGCACACCCCACTATGAAGCTGTACAAGAAGAGATCCAGTGAGGTCCGCCTGATGTTATGAACGTTACTCTGAATCTCGAACCCTCACCCTGCAAGGATCACACTGCGGGGTGGCCATCGCTGGGCGTGTGCTGTGTCAGGATCATGTGCACCCTGCTGGGACTGTCCCTAAATGAGTGAGTGGCTTATGCCCCGCTGAACCCACAGCAGAGTCTACGAGGTAACCAAACTTTGAGGGTGGAGCCCAGAACCAGCTCTGCTCAGGAGAGTGTACTCATGGAGAGACTTTCCTCTCCAGTGGGTCTTGGCGTGGGTAGTGTCACCAAATCCTGCAACACAAGGAGGAAGTTGTGTCGCTGTGGGAAAGCGAGGCTGTGCCAAGAGTAGAATGTGGCCTTGAGTTAACGGGAAAGAGGTGCTCATTTCAGTGCACACATTAACCTAAACCTAGACGGGTTGTAAGTTTTTAAGTGAATCGACTCTTCTTTCAGTGTAATTTAAAACGGATTTTTAATGAAATACACAAAAGAAATCTAATGTTACTCTGAGTAAAGCTATAAACTTGCAGAATGAATCCAAATTGTATTTCTAAAGAACCATGGTAAGGCAATGTTTTATTAAGCAACTGAGGATCACTTTGCTTCTTCTGCTCTGAGAAGACTGGGGCAGAAGATTGGAGCAGAACTGTTTCGGTTTGTGCGTTAGAGACGTAGCGATCTTGTGGACTTTTTTTCTTTACAGCAAATGACAGATCTGGAGAGCAATTTCAACACTGCCTTTAATTTTTAAATTTTTAAACCAGGCCATGGATCTCTGCCTGTATCACTAATTTCAAACTTCTTAATTTTTATTTATTTATTTATATAGTTTTTGGTACTGGGGATAGAACTCAGGCCCTTGTGCTTGCAAGGCAGGCAGTGGAACCTCTGAGCTAAATCCCCAGCCCCACTAATTTCAAACTTCTTCAATAAAGATCAGAAAAATATTAAGAATTAAATAGTATCATTTGCAGAGTTCTCCTGGGCTTTTGGGAAAAGTCTCAACTTTACCTGGAACTGGGCCTGCTGAATCACTGACTCTTAGATTCTTAGTTACAAGAGAAAAACCTGTCTTGAAATTAGAGAAATATTAGAATATGAAAGACTTTCTCAACAATTATTTCCATCCTCAGAATTTTAAGACAAAGCTTTCTCAATGACTTCAAGGTTGGTTCTGATCTCGTCACGTTGGAACGCTCCATACTACTGTCATGGGAAATACTCTTCTTTTCCTCTAATATGATACAGCTTATCTTCCGATTCATATTTTTGCCTACAACATCAGCTACTGCTGGGGCAAAGGCAGAGTGTCGATCTTAAGAGCTGTAACTGATTGTGGAGTTCACCTACACTTGTTAGCTGCCATCTGTGGTTATCTAAATCCCCACTGCACCGGCTTCAGATGATAAAGTGCGACACTTGTTTCCTGGCCCAGTCTTGAACGAGAGTATGGATCTAAACACGTTCACTGTATGCAGTCTCATGTGTTGGTGAAATGAAGCACGAATGATAAATGTAATGTAGCCCCGGCTCGGTTAGTTAAGTGGCATGGCTGGTGTCTCTGAGTTTAGTTCATGAACACATTTAGTTCATATAACACAATACTCATGGCACAGGTAGAGTCACGTAGAAATTATTGAGAAAGAAATATCTGTCATAGGAGGAAGAGGAGTGTAATTTTTAAAGAACTGTCTGTCACTCTCTATGTCGCTGTCTAATGAGACAGTGTGGCAGATGCCTCACTTCTTCTCATGAGTGAGACGTGCAGGTTACCTCTGAGCATGCAAGGGAGGTTGTGGGCACTGCAGCACAGCTGTGTTAGGTCAAGCGGCAGAGCACATGCAGACTGTGTTCCTAAAGCGTCTTTTTACATGGAGAGTGTTTCTTTTCCCAGTTTGCTATGGTCACAATCGAGACCTTTAATAATGCAGCACAGCCAATAAAAACTCTATGCAGAACAAGAAAACTACATCACCTTGCACTAATCATTTTTGTATTATATGGTGGATTTTACACATAACATGGCAAATGTGATACAGTACAAAGAACACACTGGAGGTAGAGATGTTACCTTTTGCCCTGGGCGACCAGATTCTCCCGGTTCTCCCTGGCCAAAGAAAACCAAAGATGAAAAGACAGTCTTACAAGACTTTCTGCAGAGCCGTGGGCCTCCCGGGACTTCCAGGGATGACCCAACCTCCTGGGTCACCTGTGTTTTATTCTCCTCCTCTCCATCTCACCGAGCAGAGGGAATTTTAAAAAAATGTATACACCTATAGCTCAATACAAGTCCGCATCTCCAAAAAACCAATTTGAAAGGGAAGAGAAAGCCAGCTCTTGTGTTTACACCTTCACCAGCTTCCCCCAGAGAGCCCCGTTGTGTTTAGCAGCCGATTATGGTAGAACAATTGGAACAGAGCTGTAACCAGGAATGCTGGTAAAACGGACGAGGAAGGAGAGGCTTAGAAATTCAGAACTGTGAACCCCATGGTACAGACACTTGCAGAGTTATTACCTTGATTCCTGCAGCAGATGATCCAGGATCACCCTACAATAAAAACCACGGGAGATTAAACTGTATGGTTAGCAAACAGGAAATGTTACACACACCCAGCTGTGGGTCCCAAGGACGCCCAACGGGCCGCCTCTGCACCAATCTGCCAGCTGTCAAGTTACAGTGTCTCAGAAGACAAGTAACGTACTTCTGTAAACATGGGTTTACTTTGAATGCATAACACAGTAAGACCATATTCCTGAAAATAAACATAAATACTGTACACCAATCTCTTCCTTTGATACCATGCTGAAAAATGTATTCAGGAGCAATAAACTGTAAGGGAGGGATTGGCAACTTTTGGGATTCTCTCTTGCTAGGATTCACTGGTATCACTGGTCATCACTTTCAGGGAGGACCTTGACCCTTTTGGAATTCAGAGTCAAGGTTCAACTGATGAAGTCACGGGCTGATGATGTGGAGGTGGGAAGAGTCACATGGCAGACGGGTTTCTTTTCCTCATGAAGCGCTCCCAGCGTGGCAGCCTACAGGCCTTCTCTGGTTTACACTCATCTCAGTGTACCTCAGGTGCCGGGAAGACGCAGGATGACGGAGGCCCCGGGTGATGGGGTCACGTGAAAACTCTGAGAGAGTCGGGATGGAGTCTGTTCTTGTTAAAGGCATTGTATTCTGCCCAGATTTCGGGTGACTCCACTTCTAAAGCAAATATACTATAAATTATCAGAGACTGGTGGAGAAAAGAATATGGAGGTGAGAGGAAAGCTGCTGATTTGTGAAATGAAAGCTAGCAGAGGGTCTAGACTTCCAAGCTCCTCCTAGTTCTCTTTGTCCCATGAACGTGCTTGAAAGAAAACTTAGGTCGTCTGTCAAGAAAACCAGAACAGCCACAGGAGGAAGCTCACACTAGGGTTTCCTCAGCTGTCTGTCTGTGCACAAGCCCGGCCCATTTCCTTGTTCTGGACTCCTGAAGCTGCTTGCCAGTCTCTTAGAGACAGTCGTGGGCTGCAGGGCCTCATCCCCTCCCGCAGGTCCTCTCCTCTCTCCCCTCTTCCCACGGTGGCACCTTGTCTCTCATGGGTAAATGGCTGCGCCTCAGAGAGGCCTTCACCATCCACTGTGAATGCGAACCCGTGAGCCTTCCTGTGGGCGCAGCTCCCTTCCTCAGGCCTCTGTGTTTCCTGAACCTCCCCAGCCCCCAGCTTCCATTAGACAGTCAGCGACAGCTATGCTAATCTGCAGCTGATCTTAGCGTATGCTCACTTTGCATGTGGCAAACGAGTGAACACATCTCAAAAAGAATTTTTATTTTATTTTATTTTTCCTTCTTTTCTCAAAAAGAATTTTTAAAACAGGTCATCAGTCCAAAGATCAAAAGGACAAAAGCCTTTAGGAAGGGAAAGAAAAGGCTTTGGTAGGAGAAAGAAACAGTAAATTAAGGCCAATGATGTAGCTCAGTGGCATCGTGACTGCCTGGCAAGTGCAAGGTCATGATCAGTTCCCAGTACTGAGAAAACAAAACAAGACATTAAATTAGCTTGTATGTGAGTTTCTTTGACATCTGTAATTGCTGTTACCCAAGGAAAAAATTAAAATGTGACTAAACAAAGTAGAGTTACTCTGCCTACTGTCTTGCTGTAGAACTACAGCCCTCTCTTCCCAAGCTTAACATTCAGTTGAGTTTCAGATGGGAGGTGAAATAATGTGGCTAATAAAATATTTATTTTTACTTCTGTTGAGTCCAAAGGCTATCAACACTAAGGAACCATGTTTGCAATATTTTGTACAGTAAGATCCTTGAATTCATAAAAGCAACTTTGACTTTGCAGAATTCCATTTTTCATCTCATTCATGCCTCAAAAAAAAAATCTGAGAAACAGGGCAGATGTTATTACTCCCACTTAATAGGAGAAGAAATTGAAACAACTAGAAATTAAGTGAATTTGGTGCTTGCTAAATTCTATGGCTATGTTCTTTTTATTGGAATAAGAAAAGAATTGTTGGCATATTTCGTTTTGACAAGAAGATATAAAGGCTGAGGTGAACTTGTAAATAAAAGTAAATTGTTTATAGTTAAATTTTTTTCAGTATTTTAATGAAAAATGGTTAGATACACCACTGCAAGAGAATAAAAACCAGGTTTCTTATAGGAAGAGGCTGCAAAGAAAAGGACAGATTCCCGAAAGGCTGATTTATTTGTGAAAATCTGATAGATTTCACTTGATGGACAGCTGAGAATGACATTTTTATTCTCTTTTTAAAGGTTTGGAACTGTCAAATCTCCAGGAATTTTTATAACTTTTAACTGGCAAGGCAACTGCTGCAAGACATTTGTAAGTCAAACATTTTGAAGAACACTGATGCAAAGAGTATAAATGAATCAGCGAGTGTTTCTACGTCCTTTTCCTCCCCAAGTGAAATGATACAGGAGTAAAGTGGAGAAATCTCCTCCATGTCTTAAACACCTTCCTAGCCCTGGAAGTGATGTGGTTCAGAAATCAGAATTGTTAGCGAGTAAGGCAGAGATGGGGACATACTCTGAGGAGATATTTGAGATAAAGGAATGTGATTTTACTAATTTCTTATACAAGCCCCATGTCTAGCTTTACTTGTGATCATTTTCAAATGTAACACTCAGTGGATGATGCGTGTGCTAATAAAGCACATGTGAGAATAGTGAGTGAATGGGGTGACACATTCTTAGTGTCCACTAATTCACCCCAGAAGTATTTATTGAGCACTGATTGTGTGCCAAGTATGTTCTGGGTCCAAAGACCCCAGGACCTGGGGAAACAATGGCACACACCTCAGGATAGCACAGTCCCAACCCCTGCCCTATTCTGTTTTCATAATAAACACTAACTACATTTATACATGATATGTATAGATTTGTATGTATATGTTTCTATATGGCATACAAAATATAGAAACATTGAAAGTATGAAGAATATTCTCTTATTTTTTCTTTCCTTTTAAAAATCTGGGACAAAGCGATGGCCATGTTTGGGAAATTCTCTGTCACTGTGTATATACACAGCAGACATGATGCGCAAACACATAATACAAGGAAACCTCTACCATTCCATGGTAGAGAGTTCAACAGAAATGCTAAAGGTTTTTCATCCGATAAATATTTTCTATGTGTCAGGATCTTGGACTGGTGCAGAGAACAGTGCAATGTAGCATCATGTAATTTTGGTTTTGATTTTTTTTTGCTTTTTCAATGAGCTGGATGTCATATTTACAAAGAAACCGTTCTAAAGTGCAATGAGGGTTATGGCAGAAATTATAAAGCGTGCTGCTGGAGGTTCTAGTAGGTGACCTAATCAGTCAGAGGACAGTTACAGACCACGCCGAGGAAGTGGTGGCACAAGCCTGAAGTGTAACTCGAGCCTGTGTGTAACTCGAGGCCGAGACAGAAGGATCACAAGCTCCAGCCCAGTCTGGGCAGTTTAGTGATTCAGGGAGACCTCGTCTCAGCAAAAAATAAAATGGGGTGGGGATTAGGTCCGTGTGAAGGCCCTGGGTGGTGGTTGGGAGCTGGAGAGGATGTGAAAGAAAGCAAAAGGGGAGACGAGGAATTGGAGAGAAGAGCAGAGGCATCTAAGCAAGGAATGACGCACCGAGCAGAGCAAGGCTCAGCAGTGACCGATGTAGGGCACACGGAGACAGACCAACATGGTGTGGTCTCTGGAGACTCAAGAGGCTGTGTGTGAAAAACGCCACACAGACGTCAAGTAAGAAGGGGATGTGTCCAATGGGATAGATCCTGGGGGAGCAAAGAAACAGAAGAGACGGACCATTACGCAGGAAGGCAGTGGAGGGAGCCTTCCACCCACGGTGAGCAGTGCGTGACGGGGAAAGCAGTCCAGGCAGGCAGTGGGCGGCACAAGCACCCAGTGTCACGTGGTGGAAACAGAGCGGAAATCCGTCTCCATGATCATCGTGGGGTTATCTCCCTTAGGGGTGGACCCCGGCTTTTGGCGGGTGAGGCCAGGCCTGGAGTGCTCTGCCCGGAGCTTTCATGGTTCCTCAGCATTTCCAGCTGACCAGTCTGGAAAGGCTCAGATCGCTTTACCATGCAAAGGCGCCGAGTTGGATCAAAAAGGAAAAAAATCCTATTCAAGTGAATCAGTCAGTGACGTAATTTACTACATCAGTGGCAGAAGATTTTTTTAAAAAAAATTTTACATCCTATGCTTGGTAAATAATGAATGAGTTTCACATACTGAATGAAAAGGCCACAAGAAGAGTGTTTCCAACATGCTGGAAACAAATCATATGACAGAAGCAGGAAATGTTTAAAAAACACATCAAAAATTATATTCCAATTACAGCGTTCTTGGGATGAATGCTGAGGATCAGATTGCACATTGTACATGTTATAGGCTCCTATTTACAATCCCCTGTTTAGACCCACTGAAAGTTTATAGAAATGATTTCCGTTTTTGTACCTAATTTCAGCTGACTAATAAAACTTTTTGATAAAAAAAGAAAAACAACCAATCTCATTGCTTTCCATTTCCATGGGGTAAGAAGAGCAAATGTTTACTGGGAGTTTACGATGTGAGAGTTGGGATGGTAAACGATTTGCATTAATGTATAAAATAGAAACAGTATTCCTGCGAGGTGCCTTGGTCTTTTCAAGGAAAAAACTTGCTTTGCAATCGTAAAACTCAATTCAAAACGTGTGTTATTAAAGAAACAACTATGGGCCCTACCTTCCAAAAATGAAGCTTTAAAAATGTATCTACTGAAGCATAAAGTGTTCTGCACAAATCCACATTGGCGTAGTTCCGCCTTGGCCTCAGTTTGGTTTTCACCTGAAGAAAGCTCCTTGTGTGCAGAGGACTTCGCTGCTTTCACACGAAGGTCAGCAGCAGGCAGCCAGCAGATCCAGCGGGTTACCTGCAAGGCCGATGGGCCAGTGACAGCTTTTACGGGTTCACGCGGGGAAAAGGCAAATAACAGGATTTCACCACCCGTGAAAGTGAGAGGATCACAGTTGGATCCATCCAGTAAGGAAGGTTCATGGGGACACAGCCACGCCTGCTATTTCCGTGTTGCAGAGGTGAGGACTTGGGAGAGACCCCATGGCCCCAGACCAAAGAATAATTATTTTTCTGGTGCTTTACAGAAAAAATTGGCTGACCTCTGCTTCTGAGCAAAAATAAGAAGCTTCATACGCCACCACCCAGGTTCACGTGGCGAGGGCGTCAAACGCTGAGCCTGAGAGTTGTCCCAGTGCCCGGCCCTTTGGTCTTATTTGTACGAAAACAGCTTCGTGTCCTGTCTGATGGCAGCACAGTACTCAACTAGGGCGATTCCATCCCGGAGACGCAGCTGGCTGCCAATTCAGGGGTGCAACTGGCATTTGATGGGTTGGGGCTGACAGTGAGTGCCCACCGTGAAGAATTGTCTGTCCTGGGCCGTCAACAGCACTGAGGCCAAGAAAGCTGCTCCACAAGGGACCCAGGTTCCCCTCATGCCTGATGGCTCCTCAGACACAAACTCCGTCTCTTCTTGGTAACATTCATCATTTGCCCATGCCATATTTACATTAATATTTATGAGGAGGAAAGAGATTTCTGTTTGTTTTGTTGGCATGTTTTTATGACTAACCATTATCCATCTGTACTGTAGTAACTTTCAAAGTGAAAGTCTTATCCTCGACTCTAAGCCTAAATGAGTAATTCATTTTGTAATCAGTTATTTGGCTTGATTTACATTAAGTCCATCTGATTCTATTATAAAGTCAGTTCCTTAAATGTCTTCTTTTTAACTCTCAACATAGTGCGGTGGAAGGTGCCCTGCAGGAGGTGTTACAGTGTCAGAGATGTCTGAGCAGCAAACTAAGCAAAAGCTACAAAGACAGAGGAGAGGAAGGAAGGAGAGAGGAGGAGGAGGAGAACCAGCCATGGACGACTGCACTATCAACACTAATCACGATTTAAACGGCCAGGAAAGGAAATACAAAAGCGACAAAAGATCTACAATTCATGGATTTTGAGGCCAAATTTGAACACTGCGCCCAAGACCCTAAGCAGGCGATAGTAATTGGCAGTCAAACTTTTCAAGTCCATCCCAGCTCCCTGACGCGCTGTCTGTGCCTGGAGCACATGAAGTCACTTGTGGAGCTCTTGTCCAACCCCACATATAAATGGAGGATCCCATTTATACATGAGGCATTTTCATTCCTTGAAAGCCACATTACTGGTAACTTTTTAGTTCTACATTTTTTAGAACTGTTGACATATCATTTTTCTTTCAAAATATTTAAATTTGTAGATAGGATGAGGAGTAATAACATTTTCTAAGTCGTATGTTTAAATATTCTCTAGCCTCGGAGAATTATCTTCGACCTTGTCCTATTAAGTTAGTCTGACTCAACTCTTTCAAAATCCCCCATTTCCATATGAAACCATATGCTAGACCCTTTCATATTTCTCAAAACTGTACCTTTTCTCCTGTGTCACCTTTGGGGCCACTGTCTCCAGCATCTCCCTGAAGAAAGGAAAACGTGAGATGCATAAAAACTCACTGGTAACAGTAAGCAAGCAGTATTTTTCTTTAAGTTCCTTGCACCGTGCTCTAGATAGAAATCAGTTGCACATGTTCCGAGCTAATACACGTTCACTGGCACAGCTGCCTGATATCAATACAATTAGCATTATTACAGTGAATATGGCTGAATAGTTTTAAACTCCGTAAGATTAACAGAAAGCAGCAATTTATCTGCCTGCCCTCTAATAGTTTATCTGGATACTGCCACTTCTGCCCTCTGTCTCCTTTCTCCTTTACTCAGAGCCCCTGTAGCAAGGTTTCTCCGGAAGATCCCCTCTGGACGCTGCCTTACCTAACCCTTGCCACTGCTGGGTCTGAGTTGGGCCACTTGGGCTCCTACCCTGTGTTTTGTCTTCTACCTGTGTAAATCCCACCTCTTCTTCAAACCTGTCTCCAGTCTCCAGGACCTTACTGTGTAGGACGCGCCTCTCAAAGCCTGCTGCCTGTTATCTTAGTGTACATAATTTGTCAAGTGAGTTTCATGTTCTGTTAGAAAACTTAATCTATCATTATGCTTCCTGTTAATTCTGAGTCTTCCTATACCTGTTCCTTCGCAGGCATCTCCTTTCTCTCCACAAAGCGATGCACTAGGGAAAAAGGTCTTCACCAGTTCTTCAAGCTTTGCCTCTGTAAATTCTCAGTTCTTTAAGCCTGGCTGCACCCGACAGCAGAAATGTCCCAGATGGGAGCCACAGAGACAGTGGCCACCTCTGGCACTTAGCGGCCAAATGAAATTCTCATTGCATCAGTTTCTCTGTGCACTGGAAGGGTGCTTTTTCTTTTACTTAAAGGAAGTAGGCACCGTGCTCTGTGTAGGGTTCCCAGGACGGTACCGGGCATGCCCTGAGCCATCACCATGCCGTCAGTGGTAAGAATGCATTACTGCCACAGGCACCATCGGCTGCAGTGCCCCTCTAAGAGGCCACTTTCCTACCATTAAAAAAGTTCCTTAAAACAGAAGAGAAACTGTCATAAAAAGTTTCTTGGGAGTGAGGAAGTGGAGGAGGGAGACTTCCACTTTTTTCATTTGTTTCAAATAGATGGTGACTTAGGTCATGGCCACCACGAGGGCCCGGCATTGCTTCTTGTCCTCCTCCAGTTCTGCATGGAAGTTATCTGAGGACTAATTAATTTCCAGTTAACTACCATGAACTGGTTGGTTGCCAAGTAAACATGCTGGTAATCTATTCTGAAGGAACTCTGACAGGTGGTTTGTTTGCATGCTTTAAAAAAAAAATCTCTTGAAAATGCCTTTATTAGAAAACAAACCTCCTTATTAAAAAAAAAAAAAGAACTGGCTGTGAAGTGAAGGGCTTGACACAGGCTGTTCGATCATGAAACTGCTTTCCATACTCCTTGGTTTTGCTCTTCCTCTATTTATTTTATTTTTTGTATCGGGAATCAAACTCAGGACCTTGCACTTTCAAGGCAGGCACTGGAACCATTGAGCTAAATCCTTGGCAGCTCTTCTTCTATTTTAATAGAAATCCTTTTCTCTTTACAATGCTGAAAAGCACAGTTACATTGAAGACTTTTATCTTGGTCTTTAAGTGAACATCTTTGGAATTAGGGGTTACAGAGCCAATCTGCCAGAAAGATCTGATTGTGGCAGTGTCGTGGGGTTCTCCACTCGGATGCCATGAGTAACGCATGAGAAGCAGGAAGCCACGCGTCACCGTCCACACTGACACCCAACACGGCCAGTACAGGAGAGAAGGAAGGAAAGGAGGTGCAGAGAGACTGAACATACAGCTCCCTATTCTCCTTGATTCTCTTTCTGGTTTTTAAGGGAATTCTTTGGGGGGGAAGCTTTGGATAACTGCTGCAGGTAGACTTCTGTATGCCTATAACCCAGGGACATAACAAGCAGCAGAGAGAGATGCAGATGCTTGGAAAATCATCGCAAAGGCCTCAGCAAGCACAGAGGTTTTGCAGGCCTGGAGATCGTCAAAAGCCACTGAAGAGTCTGATACAGGTGTTTCAGTTTGGTTCCTGTCTTTCCTTTTTTGTAAATCTTTCTACTCAAGCTTTTGTCTATATAAAAGAATTAAATTATTTTATTCTGACACTCTCAGTTATTTGCTTATTTCTCAAGCAAATAAAAAGGTAACAGCTGGTACCTCCATTTCTGTTTATCATATCTATCTGTCCGTCCATCATTCCTCCCTCTCTCCCTTCCTGACTTCCTCCATTGATTCAGTTTAGTCTGGGCAAATCTTTAGGGAAATCCTTCTTACCTTTTCTCCTTGTTTTCCAGGTTCTCCCTGAGCAAAAGAACAGAGATTGACTGAGGTTAAATTATAAAACTCCTAATGAAGCAACAGCAAATAAAGCAGATATCAAAACATATTAATCACATGTGACATTTTCTGTTTTGGCTATATATGTATGTGTGTATATGAATGGTAATGTGAGTTTTCTGATACCAATAGCAAATGTAATTTTAATTCTTAGCTCTTTCACACAAGTAATTTCAAGATGATCATCCAGGAACATATCAGGGCACTGAGGAGCAAGGAAGAGGACGGCAAGCTTCGTGTCCCTTACTTTTAATCTGTTGAAACTCAGGATCAGTAAGGTGGACCAGAATGTCCTTGCCCAAAGCCTTTTATTCAAAGCACCCCCAGAGCAGGAATGCCTTGGGGTCTGGAGTCCTAGGGTCTTTCCCAACCGGTCTCCCTCTACAAAGACCACGACCTCCAGCCTTGAGCTCTTTCCAGGGTCACTTAGCTCCTCTAATTCAATGACCAATGTATTCCGGGTGAGGTGTGTGCTAGGACTCCTGTGCCTGTGAGAGACGCCAAAGGGAGTACACTTCCCTGAGTTAGGAGAGATGTCTCTCCCACTGACAGTCAGGCAACACGAGGGCTAAAAGGCAAACTGTGTTCTGAAAAGAACTCCTAATTGTCACTTTATCCTGGAAAGATAGTAGAGTAGGAAAGTTCTAAAGAACATCAGTCATACCCATTATGGTCATATTTCCTGATGAAAAGCTTGAGTAGGTTCTGCCCCAAGCTCACACTGCTTTGAAAAACTGGTACAAGGTGATTTGTGTGTGTGTGTGTGTGTGTGTGTGTGTGTGTTGTGTGCGCGCACATGCTTTTTAATTTATGAACTACTCAAGAAGCCAGGCTGGAGGTAAACTCTTCGTTCTCTGGAACTCAACCTGACCCCTTGGCTTTCTGAATTTCTGGCCACCTTCACTGCTCGACATCTGGCTTGATGGCCAGGTTGCTAGGCAACACAGGAAGAGCCCTGTGAATATGCGTTAAGCATTAACTCCCATCATTTGGGTTTTTAGCGTGGAGCAAGAGAGGGAAGGAGACAGGAAAACGGCTGTTGTCCCAGAAGGAACATTTTCTTTCCTCTCCTGCAGGACAAAGGACAGGTCTATAAATCTGAGGTCTGTCCCAGCGCCTGTCAATAGCCCTGTGATCTGCAGAATCAGCTGAAAGGCATCTGTGAGGACAGATCCGCACTAGCACAGCTGACGGATTAGACATCAGGTCTGCACTTCAAGGGCTGTGTGCTCATCAAAGGGTTTGGGATTTGTCTGCCTGTTTGGTTTAAACTAAACTGTCACCAATCTTTTATATTTAACAGATTCATTTGTTCTTTGAGAAACAAAGAAAATGCCCAATCCAAAATAAAATCCTCATTACATTTTTTCCCCATTTAGTAATTCAGACTCCATCCATTTTTAAATTTTAAACATGCTACATCTTTATTTTGCTCTTCATCTGATTAAGTTGTGTGGAGGCCGAAGTCTCAAGGAAAAGCCACAGTGGTACTGGGAATGTCCCTGGTCCCGAGCCTCATAAATACAAACATGTACATGTTAGGAGTGTGCGTGTGGCCGGCTCCTACATGCTCAAGAAGGGGTAAGAGTATGGCATCATCTGTGAAATGGGCTGATATTAATCATTCCAGGTAGATTTCAGGCAATCCTGTCCTGTTGGTCTGCACTTTTAGTGCTAATGAAAACCACAGTATCTTCCTCAGTGACAAAGTTCTGTGCTGTACAATGTTTCACCACTGACAAATATTCAGCCTAAGGGCAACCAGTGAAATAGTAAAAGTCACGCTAGCTTTTGAAGTCCTTGTGTCTGAGGGTCTGCTTGGCTCCAGGGCACTAACCTCTGGTCCAGGGGCCCCATCCTGTCCTGCAGCTCCAGGCGACCCAGGTTCACCCTCAAAATGAAAAACAGACACTACTAAGTAAAATGGACAACATCAGCATGTTGTGCAGACCACGGACGCCAATAACCATCCAACAGTGCCCTAGAAGTGGACAGAGAATAAGTGACGTTAGTGGAAATACAGGTTAGTTTACAAGGCCCAAAATTCTAGAGAATAAGATCTATAACTGGATCAGTCTTCTCTGTACAGTCTTTCCTTCACCAAGAAAGCTGAAGTGACTAACCAATGTGAATATCTAGCACAGTGTTGGGTACGTTGTAGACATCAAGTAAGTACTCATCGAAGGCATAAAAGGCACTTGAAAATACAAGACTCTCTCAGTGAAGAACCTGTGATTCATCAGCTAAGGAAAGTAAAGAGTAACTCATAATATTTTCATATTACATCTAATTGAATGAACATTTACAAATCTGATTCTTGAAAATCACACATCTTTCAACATCTACTTGGTCAAGACACATTTGACCCAAAAGTCAAAAGTAAAAACACCTTCCTTTCATTTCAACCTTTTGGGGCGAAAGGACAATGCCAATTTTAGGCTAGAAAAAAAAATCCCCATTTCAGAAATATGATCTATATTCGTCTTTCTGGACTTGGAACCAGCAACGTTTTCCAAAAGGGCAAAGGTCCCTTGGAGGGTGCAGACAGAAAGTCGACCCTTGCTCCTCCGTGTGGCTCGGACATGCAGCCCCTAGGGTTTCATTTTCACTGAAAAACATCCCTGTGTGTTCCTACTGCTGAGCAACTTTCTTCTTTCCTCCGAGGGTGCTAAAGTCACTTCTTAGCTAATTTTAAAAAATATTTTATTTTTCTTTAAGAGTAGTTTTGTGTAGGCTGAAAACTCAACCGGTTTTGGAGAATACTTTCTAAGCCACCTAGAGGGCCAGGCCGGGCCATCTTCAAATTTGTGTTCTCAGCCTCAGAGCCACGTCTGTTCATGATAAAGTGACCCTCTTTGGTGCTGAGGTCTGCACAGTCCCCAACTCTCCTAATTCGATAATCTTGTAGGGGGAAAGTATTATTTTTAGCAATTTTACAGGTAAAGAAACCAAGGCACAGAGTACTAATGTGTTCAGATTTGCACAAATACTCAAAATCCGAATGCTCGTGATGTGGCTGAAAAGGCTGTGCTCTCCACTGTGCGTCCTAAGGGACCAGTCTGTCTGGAGACTGGGAGAGGGAAGACGGGTATTACAATCCCCATTTATAAATGACCTTCTGCAACGTGCAGAAACCTCAATTAGATAAAACTTACACACTGCTCATTTATAACAGCCCTCCCAACTAAGCTCGGCTGGGAGAAGCATGTGGTGTCTTTCCAGGACAGTGAGAGGCATCTTGCAACTCCAAGGTGTTATTACAACAGCTGAGGTACAAACTCAGGAGAGAGTCTGCTTCCTGTATAAAATCACACGGTAACTGCAACCCTTGCTCCTTCCTCAGTAAAATGACAAAACCCTTGACCTAGAGTAATGATGGCCATTATGGGGAAATGGTGATGTGCCATTCATGCCTAACAAAGGTAAGAACTCAGAAACTGAATACACCCTGAAAGGAGGGACCATCTGCTCTGCAAGCAGAACGAGAGCTATTGAGTCTGCTCTCTTTAAAGTGCCCACAGCAGGAAGCACTAATATCATAACTCATGGTTAATGCAAAGACAGGATGGGGCCAGAGAGCAATACAAACTTTGTTGAGATTTTCAAAGAATAACCATGGTAGCCAGAGTTAGTTTTTGTGAAGGTTAAGCCCCTGGAACCAGACGAAATTCATGCTGAGAGTTGAAGCAGGGAAGAGAAATGCTGTTTAGGCATCTGCCCAGCATCCTTCTTAATATATGAACACCGAGGGAATACAACTTGAACTTTTTCAGTTTGACTTTATATATCGCTAAAAGAATCTTTGACGTGAAATTCAAAAAACTGTCCCCATAATCTCATCGTCCTGTAATTTTTTCATTTTGTCCTATTTCCTTACCTCTCCTCTTCTCACATATCTCCAAGCAGTCGGAAGCACATTACCTAGTTTGACATTCTGATTTTTTCATCTATACACCACACATCTGTTTTTACACGATATTCACCGCTATCTCGTGAACAATTTCTCTAGCGATCCTGTCGAAAACACAGGTTTTCCCAATTTTGGCTGTGAAAGATCAATTAAAACAAACACCTCTGTCCACATTTTCTGTCGAATTCTTTAATTATGATAAATTCCACGGGTCTGATTTTAGCCATCAGCACATCTCTTACAGAGCTAACTGCATGTTTCTCAATTGCTTCAAAGGGCTCTCGGTTGTTGTTTTCACAGGCATGGGTGCTGCGCTAACTTTCTGTAGCTTCTTAGGGTCAGATGCCACTGTTTTCTTTTTGTGGCCATTCTGATCAGCACAGATGAGGGAGTATAATGCTGTTCAAGTATATATTTCTTTTTCACTTACAAGTTAAGTATTTTCTTGGGTGTTCATAGTTTGAAATGATATTTACAAAACTTTCAAGCTGAACAGTGATGAAGCTATTACCTGAATGAATTAAAAGAAGAAAGAAGGAAAATGTCTCACAGCACTTTAGTAAGTTCCACCAAGAAACACACTGCTGAATGCAGATGAGGACTATGGAGCCCCGATTCTGCCCAAAGTCAGGGTCTGCAGTGGGGGACAGGACAAGACTTTTGAAATAAAGTTTGCCTGTACTTCAGGAAGAGGCATAACTAGGGGGAAATCAGAGTCTTGAGAAGATCGAACTGCTTCTTGTAGAGTGTGCCAGTCTACTCTAACATATGAAGACGAAAACGATCAGGAAGGACCCCTCATCCAGCAAGGTTCCCGTGATGTCACATGACTACAAATTGTGCTGGGTCAGGCAGAGACGACCAGGACTTGGGCTGTGTGTGTGTGTGTGTGGGGGGGGATCAAAACAGCTCTCATGTTTCTTGGATGACCCAGCCTGATACTTCTGAATCATTTCATATTTATAAACACGGAGGACATTCCATACATGGTAATAAAGGAAAACAGCAGGTTACATCCTGACCACAGGTAGATGGATGGGGTTTTCTCTGTCATACATTAAATTTTAAGCCTATCCCTGGTATATTATTCCCAAAGGACCATTTTCATATTTAAGGTGAAAGTAAGTTGGACTGACTTTAAAGAAAGATGGCTGGCTGCTTTCTTTTTTTTTTTTTAAGCCAAATGCTCTTTAGCACTCTAGTACGAAACATCACCCAAGGCTTCTACAATTATTCCAAGTACTGAGATTCAAGGGCAACTTGAAAGAATCCTCAGAGGTAGAGAGGAGCGCAGCCCTCACAAAGCCTGAGCGCTGAGGGAACTGGGTCCTGCAGCAGTCTTACTGCTCACTGTACCTTCAATCACAATAGTTTTCCATTCTGCTGCTGGGAGTTTAGAGTGATTCACAGCCTTACTCTTGAGGTCATATCATTTTACATTCATCTTGTCAGAGTGCATCTCTTTCCACTCCCGCATTTTCAGAAAGAACTCATCCAAACAGAAGAGCAAAGTGACTTCAAGGAACAGGGACTGGGCGGAGGACAGGGAGGTGACAGACCCGGCTGTCCGTGGGCTTCACTCACAGACGTCCCAGACTGGGGCCCAACGCTCTCTGTCCACGACCGCAGGGTGCACTTCCTGGAGATGCCTGGAGCTCAGGGCGCCCCCTGTGAGCCGTGGCCTCTCCCGCCTCCACTCCCAGCCACGCTCTGGGCAGCAGGTCAGTGCTTTCTCACTCCTCCCTGCCCACCCAAGCCTGACTCTTTTCCTTCCCCATCTCTAGAGGCAGAGGAAGCTTTGTGTCATGGAGAGAGAAGAAACAGGAAACCCTGGCCTGGCCCGTGAGGTCGGGTTACGCCTCAGATCAACAGCAACCCTGCTTCCCCGAAGGAGGTTCTGTCCATACCCGAAATGCGACACAGGTACCTCAGCCAGGAGCATGACTTGAGCACACTATTTCAGACAGCATGGTGTCACATGAAGTAATAACTAAATTAAACCTAGTAGCCAAACCTCCATTATGAGTTTAAAAAAACTGTAAGTGCTTAAAAATTCCCAATGTCTAAAGTATAGACGAAAGCATGACCTTTGTATCCATAAAGTCACAGGATGAGCTCATTTCAGAAACAAGTCTGCTGGCTGACACTGGCTTTTTAGAGTTTGGCACTGCTGTAGACAGAAATTCAGACAGAATTTGAGGAAAGGAAACAAACCTCCATTATGAGTTTAAAAAAACTGTAAGTGCTTAAAAATTCCCAATGTCTAAAGTATAGACGAAAGCATGACCTTTGTATCCATAAAGTCACAGGATGAGCTCATTTCAGAAACAAGTCTGCTGGCTGACACTGGCTTTTTAGAGTTTGGCACTGCTGTAGACAGAAATTCAGACAGAATTTGAGGAAAGGAAACGAGAGAGAGAGAGAGAGAGAGAGAGAGAGAGAGAGACAGAGAGAGAGAGGGAGAGAGAGAGAAAGCTAAGACTTCCGGGTGGGCTCAGAAAATAGCTAAAATTGAGTTTATGCGGTTGAGAAGTGGTGAAATGTGAAGGCTGGCTAGCAGCGCGTGGGGTCGCATGGGGCCCCTCTTCCCAGCACAGTGTCAGTAAGAGCTCTGGGGGGAGCCCAGCTTGCTGACAGCAGCAGTGTCCACACCGTGCCCTCAGTCGAGGGGCACACTCTCCGGGAACTGGCCCGCGGAAGCAGTCAGGACAGCACTGCCCTCAGTGGGGTGGCTGTGTCAGGCTGTGTCAGGGGATGGAGGAGCATGGGACAGAGGCTCCGGGGAGCCTGCAGACGCCCAAACCTGTGGGAGTGCGAGGTGCAAAGGATCCTCCTGTGTGTGTAAAAATTACCTCTTACAGAGGAAAAGGGATGGAAGCAAAGCTTAGGATTTAGGAAGACAAAGACCAAGAGAGCTGGAGGGAGGTGTGTGAGTGGAAGTGGCTCTCAGACTGGGGGGGCTACAACCAGTCTTCCAGTTCCCATCTCCCTACAATAGGCCCCAAGTGTTCAGTGCTGCTGGAGCCCACTCGGCCTGCTGCAGATCTCAGCAACAGCAGGAAGCCAGCCTCTGCCATTGTGCCCTCGAGAGCATGCTGGATAGGCCTGGGCCTCCGAGCCCTGGTCACAGAGGGGCTCGGAAATGTTGCTGGATAGTTGGGGGAAGAGAATCCTTCCCTGTGCGAATATGGACCTGAGGAAGGAAGACCCCGGAGTGATGGCAGCCACTTTAAGGCCAAGAGGAGTGCAGATGAAGGGAGCAGGGCAAAGACATGAACGAGGGGCTCTCAGTGTCCAGGCTCAGTCACCAGAGCAGAGCAGAGCAGAGCTAAAGTCTGCATTAATGCTAGACTTTCAAGGTCACGTAACTTCAAGGAGCGCCTTCCTTTCAGTAGCTATTTTACATCTTGCAACTTCATTTAATTCCCACCTCTGACCCACTGAGTTCTTGTAACTCGCTGTCCCTGGAATGACCTCCACTAGAATGCACACCAGTCACTTCTTTACCTCTCTTTTCTGAGTGTTTACCCCAGAAAGTCATAGAGAGGTGGAGGGACAAGTCTTAGGGTGAATTCTACTATGGGAAACAAGTCGGCCTATAGCACGCTGAAATCCTCCAGGAGTAGGACTCAGACTTTAAAAACGATAGAGCAGGCCAGGAGAGGGAAGCCCACGGTTCCAAGGAGCAAGTCTGGAACAGAAACTGGGGTCCACTGTGCACCAGCAGCTTGACCTTCGGGAGGCCGCAGTATCCGCTGACCTGCTAACAACACCCAACCAAATGCCGCGTGAGGTACGCTGTGGAGATGAGCAGCAGTGAGGAGCTGCGGCAGGGGTGAAATGGAATCCCAAATGCCTTGTTGGTGAACTGATTACGATTTAGTGTCACTTCACAATCACAGTGTTGTCTGGGTGACGGGCTACTGTCAAATTCAAATCCATATTATATTTTGAAGTTTAAAAATAATAATAGATCCTAGAAAAGAACTTGAAAAATACATGAAACAAGGTCACTGGATATTTATCCTTTTGTTTCAGAACAAATTCCTATGACCCGGGGTCTCAGAAGAAGCCCAGCTTGTGTATAAGCAAAATAATTTGCTTTCAATACTGAAAATCTTTGACATTTTTCTGGTAACAAAGAGTCAAGGATGAGAACTCAGTGCTGTGTAAAATTGGATTTTTCATCCAAATGTGGTGGTGCAATCCTGTAATCCTAGCACTCTGGGAGGCCGAGGTAGGAGGATCACAAGTTTGTGCCCAGCTTGGGCAAGACCTGTCTCAAAACTTAAAAAAAATAAAAAAGGGCTAGAGATGTAGCTCAGTGCAAAGAACCTGAGTTCAACTCCTCTCCCCCATACCACAATCAATAAATAGACAGACAGGTAGGACTCTCATGCACCATTTTTCCATCCCCAGGTGGCTTCTCCTTCAGCACTGCACGGTGCTGGGCACTAAACAAACATTCACGGTGATGATTTACTCAAATGGATGCCAACTGTGGTGAAAATGTGGACAGAGTGGAAAATACAGGGTGGTGAGTGACACCTACTCAGAGCGTAGCTTTCTAAAGAATGGCCATATAAGTATACAAATAAAAATTGTAAAAAATTCTATACATTCTACCAGAGGATTCTTCAAGTTAAAAAAAAGAATAGTTCTACCACATTATTTTAAATAGCCCAGACTTCTCCAGTGTTTCTGAAGCAGGGTTTACCTGACATACAGGTATTAGGTATGTATCTCTGCACACATGCGTGAGTGTGTGTGTATCACGTACACACATAAGGTGGTAATATACCTTTAACCAACAAGATCTCTTCATTAGAATCACAGAACTTAACTTTTTGTGCCACTTCCCTTAGCCATAGAAACAGCGCTTTCTGTTTCCTGTTTGTAGGCAAATGGCTATCGCATGCATCCTAACTGCCCGGAGCATGAGTCCAAGCTAGGGCAGGCAGTGTGGACGGCAGGCAGAGGAGCCGGGACTCACTTGCCGCCTCCGAGACGCAGGGGAATTTGGCACAGCTTTGCCTTACAAATGAAGCCCTGGAGCCCAGAGAGGCACAGGACCATTCAAATCCGTGGTCTGCCCTGGGCAGGAGACGGGCAGGGGTGCAGGGGCCAGCAGCAGCCTCTGCCTCGGACGCACAGTCATAATCGTCCGCGATGAACGCAGCCAGCCTCCTGCACCCGCGAGATACTCAGGGCTTCCGGGGCCCGGCGAGAGACCTACAATGACGGGGGCCTTGGCGCTGCTGCAGCTGCCCTGCAAGGTCTGCTTCCACTGGAGCACAGAGAGCAAGTCACCGGCCGACAGGCACGGAAACGCCTCTCTCCGGCCACGGACGCGCTCTGCCCTGTGCCGCCTCGCTCCTGGCCTCAGAGACACAGCGCCATCCCTCAGGAGGTTGTGACTCCACAGGGAGCAGGGCTGGCGCACAGCACCGCCCTACAGCTCCTGCAGGTCGTCTTCCCTAACGCAACGCAAAGAACTGGGGACTCGAGCAGAACAAAGATCAGCGGTCGGGGCGACCAGGAGCTGAAGGAAAACACACGGGAGACAAGGTTGTGGGTCAGGGCCCACAGCCGATTCTGTCGATCAGAGGGCCTGGAAAAGATCGCAGTAGAAAACCAAGTGTTTTCTTAAAGTACGTTTCCTTTTGCAAACATGAGAGGAAAAAGGCCATTTTATTTCTTGGTTATTATTTCTCACATTTCCGATGGCTCAGAAATGATACCCCCCCCTTAACTATTATCCGAACACGGGGTCTAGGTATCAAAAAGTACTTCTGTGGAAAAAGTAAAAGTTGTAATGTGGAAGAAAACATTTTGACCGAGTGAGCTGAAGGACACTGAAGGGCTACTTGCAAAAATATCATGAAGTCATTGTAAGCGCTCTGCTTGGCAAAACACATTCTAAAAGGTGAAGACACACTTCAGAAGCCCTGCTTACTGGACCGTCCCACCGCCGCCAGCTCACTGTGTCCAAGAGCCCGGTTAGCTCCTAAGAAGGGGCCTCTTGCATTTTCCCAAAGATCACAGAACAACTATCAGCACGCTAGGTAATGGCTAGAACTGAGAGACGTTTTGTACACACAGCTTTAGGTCTAGAGCTATGGCGTAGGAAAGACAAATTCAGACTATATTTTGCTTGTCCCTTCACCAAAGTGTGAAAGCATTTCATTTCCCCAGGTTTTAGAGAAAACACATTTAAAAGGCCAGAGATGTATCACAAAAATAAAACTGCAAATACTGTCTCTTTCCCTGAAATATAACTTAAACTTGGTGATGAGGACAAAAAATGTCACATTCCTTCCTCCTGCTAAGGAGATTGCATGTTTCCTTGCACAAATAAAGACTATGCAGTCTTCAAAAGAGTCTATGTGACTGTTTTACCAATGTTAAAAAACAGCGCGAGGTATGTCACTGTGGAGCCTATCTTAGGAGGGACCCACTTCTGATCTTTGCATACACTCCCGTCCCTTATCTGCGGGGTTCAGTGCAAAAGTCATCTCTGTCCTTCCTAAGATCTGTGAAGCAGGCAGATGTGTGACTCCCTAAGGGGGAGCTGGAGTGGCAGAGCTGCAGGTGAGCGCTCAGCATTTGGTTTCAGGATGAAAGGAGCCATCAGCCTTGGCTGAGAACACTGATTTCACTTGGGAGCTCAGCAATTCCGGAAGCAGAAAGCACTTCAGGAACACAGATTAATCAGACTTTCAGAATTTCACCAACATGAAATGAAGGAAAAGTTGAACAGTCATATCGAGCACAGTTTTAGGGGCTCCCTATCTACCTGCTCAGTTAAGCCTCGCACTGACCTCGTATCAGGCTGGAACTGCCATTGCCTCCTCTCACAAACTGAGGCTGAGTCTGGGTTGGTGCTAAATTTGCAGCCCTCTGAGTGGCAGGTTGTGCTCTCAGCACAGGTACAAAGTGGTGCTGTCTGAACTTCCTACCAGAACGGGGGTGGCCAGCTGGAGGGCCCTGGGCAGGCTGGTTCTCTAGCAGCTGGGCTGGTTCTGAGTTCGGGATTCGGGTCCAAGCGCATGGATTTAAATACTCCGGGTGGCTGAGCAGATGAGGCCCAGATCTCCTAGGGAGACAGGAAAGGCTCTGGGGACTTTGTGAGCTCCCCCTCAGCTTCCCCGGGCTCTGTGTGGGTTCCAGATAGGAGAGCTGGTTGGGCGCTAGGGGCACAGGGCAGCAGGCTTACTGGGCAGTGCTGGACACCTGCTAGTAAATACATTCGTGGGGAGGGATCCACACACGCAGAGAGGCAAATTTGTTTGTGGTGGCTTTGTTTCACCCTTTTATCAGCTTTACTTTGCCCCTCTCCATTATTACAGCACAACTAAAGTGTCGTTCTAGAGTTTGCCAAGCATATTTATTTAACTCCTAATTTTATTTAATGCAAAGAGCTTACTTCTGAATTCAGAAGGTTTTAATGGCTTCCCTCTGTGCGAATTAATTTCTTTAACAAAAGTAACATATTAGTCTAATCATCCTCAGAAGAAACGTGAGTACATTTTATTACAATGAATGTTAAACATAGTATTTTCCCATACCATATATGAGAGCTGTATGACTTATATAACTTACTAAAACGTAATACAGCCCAACTACTTATAATGAAAAAATTTTAGTGTCTGACTAATCATCTATAAAAATCAAGCCAGTCTGATCATTTGTGTCAGAATTTCCCTGCATTTCAAATGTTTGCATGGAGTTACGTATAAACATACATGATCTTACTGCCACCATCACTCACTAGAACTCTTCTCTGCCTCTAACGGCTTCCATGTCATAAAAGAAATCCTTTATTGAATAGAACTTACCTTTTGCCCATTCATCCCTGGACTACCTGGTGCTCCAAGAGAACCCTATAAAGACACACAATTAAATACAGTTGAGATCATAATCACAAAACATTTCAATCCTACATCTATAGTATGTTAGTTTCATCAGCCTTGATGGTATCTTGCTAAAGTACAACTTCTGTTGGAAAAATTTTAAGATTATGCTTTTCAGATCTTACTCATTAGCTTCAAATACATAGCATAGACAGATCCTTCAAGTTTTCTCAGAAACTCGAGTTAAAATTTAACTCCATTCCCAAATATACAAGAATGTGATTTCAGATAATTTGATATCACAAGTTGAGACACCTATCTCAATGGTTTTAAGTTGAGTGTTATTATTACGTATATCAAAAATGCACCAATAGATGTTTTGCTCAAAATAAAAAGAAATAAAGCTGGGTGTGGTGGTACACATCTGTAATCCCAGCACTTCTGGAGGCTGAGGCAGGAGGATGCAGGTGTGAGACCCAGCTAGACAACTCAGTGACTTAATGAGACCCTGTCTCAAAATAAAAAATACAGAAAGGGCTGGGGATGTGGCTCAGGGCGAAAGCCTGGGTTCCATGCCCAGTGCCATAATAAATAAATAGCTTTAGTCACAGCAGGAACAAGTCTCTCAGTGACCGTGATTCTTGAATTTCACAAATTTAAATATGTGAACGAGAAGTATTTGAAATAATAACCGCTCATTCCACAACTCCATAGGGAACCACCTTAGACACTTAAGTGTCTTCATCTGGGACACTTTCTCCCAGGCTCCCTGGGAGCACGGTGCGGTCGCTGGAGGGCAACTTCCGCAGTCCACTCGAACAGGTGCCATAAGTGTCACCCATGGACCAGGAAGAGGGTTCCACAGGGCGGGGTGAGAGCAGGCGAGTCAGGTGTGTGCAACAACACGGGCGCATGGCACCCGGGGCAGGAGGACTGGCCGGCGTGAATGGGCTGAGGTGAGACTGGAAACACTAATTACTCCCTGAGAAAGTCCAGCGGGTGAGTGGACTCCGAACGTTAGCAAGCATGATGTCATTTTCCTCTCCAAGCCTCCTTTTTTAGGCCTGGAGAAACCATTTTTAAATACAATGTGCTTATTCTTTGCCTAGAACTAGGAAACAGATTTTTTTCCCCTTACTACACGTATATTAAATTTCTTTAATAATGATGGGAAAAAGCTTTTAAAAACAGTAATGATAAAACTGCCCTAAATATAGCAATTATACGCAAAACCGACTGAGAAGGCAAGCTCCTTCACACTGGAGATGGGGGAGAGCAGGCCCTCAAGGCTTCCTGAGGCCCGGAGCAGTAACGCGACCCTGGCCGCATGCGGATTAGGGTGGCTTTACAATTTCACACCACGCTTAATGGAGACGTCGCCTGGAGGGGCAAAGTGCTCCGAACACAAGTCCTCTCGCAGCTCATTGGCTTTGGCCTGGTTTGTAGGATTATGTTTCAACAGATGCCACACGCCCCTGGCTTGGGGATAAAAAGTCTCTATATTTGATGGATTCCAATGATAAAGAATAATCACTTTTCCACCTGTTACGACACAATTGTTTTCTTCAAGCTGCAGGGTGGGAGGCCGGTGGGGAGCGGAGAGCGGGGAGAGAGAGCGAGCAGGGATCTAGCGTTGCGCGTCAGCACAGAGCCATCTACCTGCTGGTGACACAGCTACACTGCACTATGGGTATCATTTCAGGGCTAGATCCTCCTGTCACAATGTCACGGTCAGTCGCACGAAAGGACAGGCAGGAAGTCACTTTTTAGGTTACCGGGACAAAGGAGGAACTTGGCATGCACCTGTCACACCTCAAAGCAAGCAATAAACACATCTCTGTTCTGACCAGGTCTGTGGCCACTGGCGATTACACATTGAACCAGGCCGTGAATTCAACTGTCAACGTCTTATGACCCCTGATGTTTCCAGTTTTATCTCAAGGCTTTACCAGTATCTGAATTACAAATTCAACAACCTACAGGTTTAGTACACAGCTTAGGGAGTTTGCTCTGGATACCGTGGATTTTCTGCAGTGGAGCCGATCAGATGTCTCATGCTACCTTCCATAGCAGTGTTTTCAGAAAGGAGAATGTACAAAGCAGACTGAGTACGTCAGCATGGCTTACAGTAGCTCCTTCCACCACCAAACAAGGGAGCATAATTACTTCTCCAGAATGGCTGCATACTCTACCTTTTGTCCTGGAGGCCCCAGAGGACCCTAAAAAAGAAAAAAATAAATCTCAGTCAACATAAGACAACAGCTATTTAGCTAGGATGACCAATTCAAACTGCCCAGGGTGGTTCTCTCACTGCCCTGAAGTATGCAGGAGTTCAGGGAAAATTTTCAGACCGAAGAACAAAATGGATTTTAAGCCACGATCCTCTTCTGAAGCAGCACCCGCCCTAGGGCTCTCATCTTTCCCTTGATGGTGTTCGCTGGACCTGTGTATCTGCCTGTGAATACCGGAGAACAGGTCCCGTCCGTGTCGCTTAGGGAGCAGGGGCACTGCACTAGCAGCAGTTCAAAGGCACACAGCTCAGCGAAGCGAAGCGCTCCAAGACTTCTGCACTGCAGGACGTCAGGGGGCAGACGTGCAAAACACGGCACATCATCACCAAGAAACATGTGCAGGTCTCACCTCTCCTCAGATGACATGTGCGGTCAGATGACCGCGCGAGGCCAGAGGCCTTGTTACAAACGAGGGCAGGAAGGGCAAAAGTGGCACCTCCAACGTCCCGGGGGCAGATGCGGTAAGCTTGCGCAGAGACACGGCGCCGGGTGGCCAGAGGGACACAGCGTGCAGTGAGGTGAATGAGAACATTCACACAGAAAGAGTAAATGCGACAGTTTTGAGATTAAGCAGTTTTTCAGTCACAAAGCCCGAGTTCGGGGTCTTTTGGCTTCATTTAGAGCAAGTCCCAGCTTTGGAAGAGTGGCAAAGAACACAGATACAGCTCTACGTCCATTTCCAAGTTAAAAATCAATTACTTCCTAATTCTTTCAAAATGTATTTAATTTTACACGTTTTCAGGGAGGTGCAGACAGTATTAGTGCTCGTCACAGCTCGTCAGCGTACCGCCCTCCATGGGTGGCTGCTCCATGGCATTTCGGCTCATCTGCGCCTCACACTTACCCTGGTACCACTAAATAAAGCCCTGGGTGGTCATTAGGGGAAGACTCGGGCAGGCACCGTTCTATTTTACTAAAAATACACAACGTTCCGGAACATTCAGAGTCTGTTCCCCAAAGTCACGATGCATCTCTCACAGGAAGACTGACAATTTCCTCCCATAATCAGCTTTAGGTCATAAAACGACACTACGCAACCTTCACATATTCCTGTTTGATTTAACGAACCAACCAACCAACCAGTTTTTTAACGAGCTTGTTTTAGGCACGTCTGTGGTCATTCTTCCTACCCACCCATGTCATCTGTTTAAAATTCTCCCTCTCAGATTTTGCAGAGAGAACAGCTACGGAGTATAAATTCCCTCGAAAGCACACCTCTCCTCAACCCAGGCCCACAGGACCCCTTTCGTGTATCAGAGGAAGCAGGGCTCCCCACCTACTCCAGGCCGGCACGCCGGAAGGCTGTGGACTCCATCCTGGCCTCCGTCCTTCGGGATCTCTCTGTCAGTTACCCCTGCCTCCCTCTCAGCCATTTCTTCCCCTCAGCACATAAACACGGTGAATCACGTCCTCACTTGGGTAAATCGTCAGGAGGCAAACGTGAGCGCTACGCAAAAGGCAAGAGCTTGGAGGTGGTGGTGATGGGGGATCTGACAGTGGGAGAAGACTGGGCCTTTATCATCGTCTCCGATTCCATTTTCTCAAGCGTCTCCAGGGCACATCGTTTCTTAAAATGTGGATGTTAGGAAGGAAATCACGTAACAAGGAGCACATTAATTCAATGTTTAGACTGAGAATGTGTATGTTCGGTTCACAAAGGTTTCCTTCCCACTGTAAACCTAACTTTGCCACTTGAAAAAATATCATTGACATAGAACCCTGGAACAGACTACTTCACACGAAAATGAGAACAAACATGAAAACGAAACACTAACTAGAGACTAACATATGTGGTAAGCTCTAATTTGGTCTCTACTACAAGATCGCCTCAAATCGGAGCTTCAGAGGGAATGATCACATCTCTGAAGTCCCTAAAATATTGTTAGTCATATATTTTAACACAGTATTTGAAGAAGTCAAATGATAACTTTAAAAGAAAATATCCTTCACTTTTAGGAAATGGTGCTGTTTTTGGTAAGTTCTAAAAATAAAGGCAGTTTTTAAGATCTAACATTAACTCTGAGTGTGAACACGCATCTTGTATTTGGTTCTCCCACCGAGAATACAGCTACCTCAGGCGTATGTATAGTTCTCTTGGTCTCACTGGCAAGAAAAATGTTTGGGGAGCCAGGGAGAGCATCATTCATTACCAGGAAGAAACTGGAAGAGCCGAATACGAGTGTGCATAAGTACACACGCCCGTGCACACAAACCCACACAAACCCACACAAACACCCATTATTTTAACGAGCAGGATTTTACTTATATGTATATGTTGCAAGTATCCTTAGATTAATAACACCGCTATACATCTGTGACACTGTGGCAATTGAATTTAAGCTTGCACATTAAGGTTCCTTTGCTCAAAACTTGATTCTGCGAGTAGGCTATGTTGGTTAAGATGTCTACACTTGATTACTCTTGTGGATTCTGGTACAAAAATAAATTTATAAATGGGAACATGTGAGAGACCCATTTATTAATTTATCTAATCTTTCTTAAACTTATTTATGCCTGGCTTGGCTGAAGAATGTCATATTCATTATTTACTAGAGACACTAGTGCTTATTCCTAAAATTAAAGCTTTAGTAATTCAAAAAGTTTTAAAGCAATTTCATTTCATTAACCCCATGATTAAGTTTGGATCAAATAATTTTCCAAAGTAGAGTTATAATCTTTTGGGTCTATTTCTATTAATTAGAAAATGTTCCTTTCTTGGGAGGCACATTTTATAATTTGCATATGTTTTGTATGCAACCAATTAAGATGGAAATAATTAAATTTACTTAATTTTTTAAAAAATAATTTATGCCTCAAGATTAAAAAACTCTGTAACATGCAGAATTTCAGCAAATTAAACTTCTTTAACTCTAGATCTAGCAACTACAAACTGACTCTTATAATACATTCATTGCAGTGCAGTCCTGGATGATATAAAGTATGTGAACTTGTCACGGAAGAATTCTGCAGAGTGGGTGCAACTTTATTCAAAAGGTAAAAAGCAAACGGCAAATTTGAAGGATGGAGTAGGGATGTCACTAATCTGCATAGAAACCTTTACACCAACTTCTCAAAATCAAGCTCAGAGAAACTTGGAAGCAAGCAAGGAATTATTCAGTGCACCCAGTTTTCCTGTTTCCCTCAGTCCCACTCTATGCGCTGCTAAAGATCAGATCCAGCATCCAGCTAAGGAAGCAAGTGAAAGAAATGTGACGGTCTGCAGTCCCCACGCTAGGCCCAGCCCAGGGAGGACCCCCTCTGCCTCCCCTCCGCCTCCCCTCCGCCCTTGCCCCAGCTGCAGTGCGACACCCTGCTGAAGTCCTCAGCTCTCACTCAGCTAATGTGACAGCCACCTCATGGCCACTCTGCTCCTAGCGTCCTCCAGTCTTTCTGCTCACCACGGCCTGCTGAACGCTAATGGGCTCCCGCTCCCGCCTGTATGTCTGCTGAGGGAGGGCTCTGCCCAGCATCCAAAAGCACTCAGGCTTTGATAACTGCAGTTCGCCCCACCAGCCGTGCTAACCCATGCCCACTGCTCTGGCTGCCTCGGTCAGGGGCTTTGCTCGTCCGCTCTCCTGCGGCCATCCCACAAATCAGAGCTCAGCGCCCTTTCCCTCATCCTCCCAAGTACCCCTGCAGCATTACAATAATTGTCTAATTATTTCTTTCTTCAAACATCTCTTATCCTTGCAGTAGCTGGCAGGCAGTGATGGCTCAGTGCATCCTCCAGAGTTCACTCATTTAGTAATTTACTTAAAAGTTTTTCGGGCCCCTCTGAGCCTCAGGCAATGTTTTAGGCATTGGGGGCCCAGAAGTGGACAAAGCCAGTCAACACTTCAGCTCTCTCGGACATTATGTTCTGAGACTGGACAAAGACAGTGACAAAAGATGAAGTTGGGTTGCTGATCAGTGCTAAAGCGAAGAGGGGGCAGAGAATGGGAGCAGCGGGTGTGGAAAGCTTTTAAATGGGTGGCTGAAGGCCTCAGTGACAAAGTGACAACTGAACAGGGCTGAGGGAGGCCAGGCAGACCTGGTGTGTGGAGAAGGGGGAGAATGCTCCAGGCAAGGGACAGAGAAGGCCCAGCACAGGAACAGTGGGTGCGTCTGACACCCAGGAAGAGGCAGGTGATTTCGTAGGGGACGGGGTCAGGGCAGGGGCTTGAGAGCACAGCAGGGCCCACCCTGAGTCTCACAGAACAACTACAGGAGCAGATGAAGGGATAAGGTCAATCAAGTGTTCTTTCTTGTTCCTTACATATTAGTCCCAAGATAGGAATGGCCAGGTATTTAACTCTTTTGTTCGAGTCCTACAAACGCCTCCACGTTACTTCCAAGGGAAAGAGTGGGCGGGGCAATTGATAGTTTCTATAGTAAAGCAGTAAGGCAGAAATCATCTCTGTTAGGCAGTTCTAAGAGCACTGGGACTGCTGCGTTGTTTGTGGCAGCTCCAACGCCCTAACATACTTCAGAAAGCCATTGTGCAAACAGTAGATGGAATTATCAGTCCACCTTCATCTTCAGAGCAGGGCACACAGAAGTGGTTGGTTCAAAACAATTATGCAGTGGCTGTTCTTTCTAGCTCACATGCACATATGTTTTTAAAAAGACTTTGCCTTGATAGATTGTGCAATGGAAAACAATAATTGAATTTTTCGGACACTACTGATGTTAGCACAGGTTTGATTGAGGTGTTAATTACTTAAACAGGATGCAGTTTCTAAGTGATGTGCTTCCGGGGCCCCTGGGGAGATGTTTTCGGGTAGGTTCTGGTTGCCTGCTATTAGGAAATGATGTAGGGGGCGGACGCAGTTCCTGTTCTGTCCCTGATGGCTAACAGTAAAATCTGAAGCTCAGAAGGCTGTTGGTCTTTGCTGCATACGAGAATATACAAGCAGCTTCTGTAATAAAACCCCAGGGAACAGAAGGAG